CAGCAAGTATTTTAAGTCCTCTTCACTTTCAGCAAGCAAGGTTGTATCATCTGCCTGTCACAGGTTGTTAATGAGTCTTCCTGTAATCCTGATGCCACGCACGTTCTTCTTCGTATAGTCCAGCTTCTCAGTTTATTTGCTCAGTTTACATATTGAATAAGTATGGTGAAAGAATACAACCGTGACACACACCTTTCCTAATTTTAAACCATTTCGTCCTCTTGTTCCGGGACCTGTCTGCAGGACCAGGCAGTGTTTCCTTCTTCTGCACCTAGGGTCACTATGAGTCAGAACCGACTCAATGGCATCTAACAACATGTTGTTGACTCTGTTTTCAGGGGTTTGCATGTTGGGATAAGTCAACAAAGGTGTCCATAAGAGCAGTCTATTCCAGTAATTTGAAACAGCCATGTGAGAGATGTCATAAAGTGCAGCAAATCTTTCATTCCACAGACATTTTCAGGGCCAACCCCTGTGACAGGCCTGAGCTGGAGCTGTAGATTCTAAAACAAATATATCAGGGTCACTGTCCTTTAGGAAGTTTATAGTCTCCTTGTTACTGATCTGTTGTCACAAGAATTAAATAGATAATCCTTGTCACATTTGTTACATGTGGGAGAGGGCACTTCTTATGGGGCCAGCCCAGCCTATAGAGGTAGGTGCACAGAACCTGCACCTGGGGTACGTTCTGCAGACACCTGAGAGGGAACCAGCTCTGAACTCTCATCACATCCTGTGTGCATGTCATTTCCTTTAATCCTCTCAACAAACTTGGGCTTTTTGTTCCACTTTGTTGTTGTTGTTGTTAGTTAATGTCAACTCTGACTCTTGGCAACCTTATATCTACAGAATAAAACCTTGCCCAGGTCTGCGTCATTCTCAAGATTTCTGAAATGTTCGAGTTCATCACTGCAACTACCATGCCAAGCCCTCTCAACAAGGGTCTCCCTCACTCTCACTGACCTTGTACTTCACTAAACATGATGTCCTTTTCCAGATATTCACCCTCCTTAAGACATGTCCAAAGCAAGCAAGTCAGATCAGGATCTGTTTTCATGATTCTTAGGATCTGAAGCAGATCCCAGCCAGGGCTGTTCTTCCTAGTCTGGAAGCGCCACTAAAACCTGTCCGCTATGGGTGACCCTGCTGGTATGTAAGATACTGGTGGCATAGCTTCCAACCTTATAGGCACATGCAACCCACCAAAATACAACAAACTGACACATGGATACTGATGCACTTTACAAATGAAGAAACAGGGACTCAGCATAACCTTTACAAAGGTGTAAGCCAACAGGAGTTCACAATCAGAGACTTCAAAGTCCTCAAGATTCCTCACCCTCTGCGCTGGAGGAGGGGGTGTCTGCTATAACCTAGAAGAACATGAGGATGGAGTTATGGCTGGCAGGGGTCCCTGTTGAAGTGTGTGGGTATGAGAATAGAAATTGCTCCTTGGCTTCAGGGCAGACCATTTAGGTGGGTATAGACCTCACAGTGGGAGAGGTGGACAGCAGGGAGCTGGCTAGCTGTGGGAGCCAGAAATTAGGAGGTTATACCTTCTGTGTCACAGGCATGACTCTGGACTCTTCATCTCTCTGAGCTTCAATCTCCTTATCTCTAAAACAGTTACGGAGTCCTGATATGGCGCTGTAGGATAAGCGCTCAGCTGCTAACCACAAGGTTGGCAGTTCAAACCCACCGCCCGCTCTGGGGAAACCCTATACAAAGTTATTTGGCAACAACAACAACAAAATAGTTACAATCACATCTACCTCAGAGGATCGTTTTAAGATCTCAATGAAGTCAATCTAGTATAGCACTGGGGACAGAACACATACTCAATACTAAATGTAGTTAAGATGTGAATCACGTTCCAGCTTCCATCTGCCTGGGTTCTATTCCTGGCTTTGCCCCTTACTTATGTGTCCTTGGCTAATGCTTTGGTTTACCTTCTCTGTATTTCAGCTTCCTCCTCCTTAAAATGTGGATGATAATAATACCTAATGGGGTTGCTGTCAGATACATTTGATAGGTTTATTAATATGAATAGAAGAGCTGGTGATGCACTTGGCTGCTAACCAAAAGGTGAGCAGTTCAAACCCACCAGAGCTTCGTGGTAGAAATACATGGCAGTCTGCTTCTTTAAAGATGTGCCGCTTTGGAAACCATATGGGAGCACCTCTGCTGTGTATCTTTTAGGGTTGCTATGAGTTGGTATCAACTCAACAGCAGTGGTTTTGGTTTTTTTTTTTTATGCTTAATAATTCCTGGCCACATAATAAGCCTTCAGTAAAGAGTAGCTACAGTAGTATAGTGGCTCAGTAGGGTAAGCACTGGATTGTGAACCATAAAGCCTACAGTTCGAGTCTACCAACTGCTTTGCAGGAGGAAGATGAGGCGTTCTGTTCCCACAAAGATTTACAGCCTCTCTGTGAGTTGGAACCAACTCAACTGTACTTATAAACAACAAAGAGTAGCATTTTCATCTCTTTACATTGCCTTGCAATTAGCAGTTGTGTCATTAAATCAGTACTAGGTGGTTTTCTTTCTCCCCAGACTCCAAAAGTAGTACAGGCAGTGAACGTTGGTACTAAAAGGAGACCTTGGAAATTGCAGTGGGCAGGGTTGGCTTCCAGCACGATGTCAAAGACAGGAGGATTTGGGTTTACAGTAGTATGATTTGGGTTGGAAAAAGCTTGGGCCAGAACAGGATGGAAGACAGGAAACAGGAGAGCTGGGGTTGCTGTGGGAACTATGGGGACACCTTGAGGGAGGTGTTAAGCAGGGGCCTGAGTGCAGTACCATGTTACTGGGGGCATGTGTGTGGTCTTCCAGGCATGGGAAAGAGGCATGCCCAGGTCTCCTGACCCAACCATAGGGGTTCATATGAGGATCACTAGGGAATAACTAGAACCAGTTGCCACAGAGCCAAGTCTAACTTACAAAGTCTCTCTGTGTGTAAGAGTACAACTGTGTTCCAGATGGATTTCAACAGGTGATTTTTCAAAAGTAAGTCACCAGGCCTTTTTTCTGAACTCATATACCTTCCATTAGCACCTGAGCATTTAACTGTGCCTCTCAAAAACTCCCAAAAGAGGATATAAACATGAAAAGGTTTTAGGTCGCTGAAGTTCTATGCAGTTAGTCCATGTAGTTTCACCTCAGGTGAAGGAGAAGTGTTAAACACTTGTAGTTCATGGTTTCAGACACACAAGCCAAACCCCGCTTGAATTTTAATGACTCTGCACTAACTCTGCAGCCCCGTGAAAAGGAAGTTCCTATGAATCACACTCATTAGCACCTTCCCATCCCTTGTAATATTATTCTTACTACAACTCCTGTGTTAGTATTTACCACTTATGGTTTTATTGTATCTTAATAAATTGAATCCTGATGTGGTGCTGTAGGATAAGCACTGGACTGCTAACTGCAAGGTCAGTGGTTCAAACCCACCAGCTGTTCCTCTGAAATCCTATATAGGGTTGCTATGAGTCAGAACCATTCAATGGCACTTTACGACAACAAAAATGCTTTTAATATAGCCCTTGTTTTGTTACTGAGCAAGTATTGAGATGTAGCTTTAGGGCACCCAACATGTTCCTATCTGCTTGAGAAAATGGGACCTAGAGAGTCTTCCTCCTGACAACTGACCAGAGCCACTTCCTCTCCTCAAAGCCTGCCAGCCCATCCTGCTTCATTCCTCTGCATCTTCACCTTTTCACCCTTGAAAGCCCCGTTCAGGTGTTATCCCCTCTGAAGTTTTCACTGACTCCTCCACACAGGAACTTCTTGGTTTCTGCCCCTGTGCATTTAGGAATCATTGTATACATGTACCTGTTTAAACTCCCACGCCGTGAGCTCTCCCCATCCACCAGTGCTGCCTCTGGCCTTGGCTTAGTTACCTCAGTCTCTCCAAGGTCATTCCCAGGGCCTGGAAGACACTGAGTTTGGTAAGCGTGTCTGGAATAAACCCAGTTAAACTCAGCCCTATATTCAGCAGCTCCATGGAGTTTCGGGCTTTTAATTTAGAAATTCTTCCAGGACTAGATGCTAGAGGGAAAAAATAAAATCAGCCCTGATGCTGACCCCCAAAGGAAGTTTGAGGATTCAAAGGCACTTCGACAACCTCTCAGAATCTACCTACCTTCAAGCCCCTGCAGCTCTGCCCTAGGTGGCTTTCAAACGTTTTTGATCATGGCCCACGGTGAGTATTTTTTTTCATTGAGACACAATAAACACCTGTTGTTATTCAGTGCCATCAAGTTGGTTCGGACTCATAGCGGCCCTGTATAAGGCTTCCAAAGAGTGACTAGTGAGTTTGAACCACCAACCTTGCAGTACAAACCGACATTAAGGTTGACTGGTTATCCTATTGTGCCACACCAGGACTCCTACATGTATTTAAATGTCAGGAACAACATTTTCACCAAACAATAATTACCCTTCTGTTGCCACTGCGCTCTGTTTTCTGTTTTAGACTTTGCTGGTCTAATGGGTTTCCGTTTTAGGAACACTGGATTGGATGGGCTTTCAACTAGAACACGGGTGGTTCTGTGGTAGAGTTCTCACGTTTCATGAGTTCGCTTCCCAACCAATACACCTTTCATCTGTCTGTGGAGACTTACTCGTGGCTATGAAGTTTAACAGGTTTCAGCAAAGCTGAACTAAGATGGAAGAACTGTCTCTGAACTTATTGCAAAAATCAGCCATTGCTAACCCTCTGGAACCCAACGGTCTGATCCAAATCCATAATGGGGATTTGGAGATCTGGCTGCAGAACAGGGTGGTATTTCCTTCATGTTATTCATGGAATCCCATGAATTCGGGTGACTTGATAGCAGCTAACAATAATAAAGTCTTCGGCTAATATAACAGGAAAGGTAGACTTTCCGGGGAGAAATCCTGGACCCTGAAGCTGGGGCTGAATAGAGCAAGCAGGTGGTGGGTGGAGGGCTGAGAAAGTGCCTAAGGCAGACACTCACCCTTCCTTCTCTTTGCAGCCGAGCCCCTCCCGCTGATGGACCTGTGCCGAAGATCCATCCGCTCTGCCCTTGGCCGCCAGCGTCTGCGGGACATTGGCTCCCTGCCCCTGCCTCAGTCTCTCAAAAACTACCTGCAGTACCAGTGAGCCGGGGCTGCAGAGCAGCAGCGGGTGAGCCCCGCCTGTCATCTCATGTTGGCACAGTACGTTCAGGAAAGGGCCTGACCCCAGGACACCCCGGTTCCCCAAGACGTTCCATTCTGTTCCCTGTGTGACTAGGATGTGTTACCAACTTTGAAACGAAATGTCTGTTGCCAACAGTATTCGCTGCCTTCAGAGCAGCCCTCCCAAAACAACTCCTTGGAAGCCACGAAGAGGCTGGAGCTTGCAGCCTGAGCTGGCCCCCGGAGATCCTGCTCACCTACCAGAACACGGCAGCCACCCCATATTGATCAAAGAGCCGTTTCCTTATTTGTGAGAATGAATAAAATGTTTGGGCAGGAGACTTTCTATTGTGCGCCCGAATGCAGACAGGGCGAAGGGAAAATTGGCCAGAGTGGGAGAAAATTGCCTCTGAATACTGAATGATGTAAGCAGCTGGTACCAGCACCCCTCGCAGGCCCACCTCGTGGGATGTCATGACATAGTAGGACTTTGTGCTCCTTTGAAAGACTGCTTGCTATCCAGGGATGTCCAGCAGCAAAACTGGCAAGTGGACAAGGCAAATTTTCAGACATCGTTGAGCTTACCTCTTTGAATCCTGTTTGCTTACCCCTTCTTCTCCACTTGACTCCTTCTTTTTCTGGCCACAGACACACCCAGAGCTCACTGGTTGCTCCAGACCCCCTCTATTCAGGGAACAGAAGTATGACTAATTCACCCCCGAGACAGAATGTATCCTTTATTATATTATTATTATTATTTTTAGCAGAGTTTTCATTTTAAAAGAAGAATTTGGTGAGGGTGGTACTTAGTCCCAAGTTGCTAATGAGGGAATTGGGGGCATTGTTACACCCAAGTATAGTGATGTCTTGGGCTGGGGAGCCATCCAGGGGAGGGAAGGGTCTCTAGGCAACTGTCCATTCAGGGTACAGCTTGGTTGTCACAGCTTTATTTGAGCAAATTATTTTTTCACTTTTGAAGACTTCTACACATTTTGTTCCTGTTTCAAATGTGTGTGTGATGTGTTTATTTATCAGCTTGGGGCCCGTGGGGGCAGCCTTGTAACTGGAAGGGTGGGTGCAGGAGACACACTCCTGCCTCCAGTTGACATCTCTGTATACGGAGTGCTGTCTGCCCAAGCTCGTCTTTAACTGGAAATAGTCACAACAGTGGGATACCAGAGCCCCAGATGGCACTGCCTCCCCACACTGTAATGTAAATTTGATGAATGAGGAGCGTTTCTAATAAAGTTTGTCGTTCAGTCCTTCAGCTGTTGACTAGATGCTCTTTGGGGAAGGGCAGGGAGATCTTCTGTCTCATCTGGTCAACACTCGCAAGAAGATACTAATGTGAATTGGTTCCAGTCATTTCTTATCCTTCCTGTCTGTCTTCTCATCCCCAAACTCAAACTCCAGCAATTTTGCAAAACCCTGCCCTTGGGAGCCAGAATGCAAACCTAACTGTAATGCTAAAAAAAAAAAAAGGTTCAAGTCATGATGCCAGGGTAACACAATGGGGACTCCATAAATGGGATGCAGGCTGGGAGGCAAACCCATGGACACCAGTTTCAAAATCACTTTAGAGGCGGCATTGGGTACAGCTGTGAACAGTTCTCAACAAGGAGCAGAATGGATTTGAAAGGTGAGGCTTGGGAGTGCAAGTAGGTCAGGAGTCAGAGTTCAGACTGGGGTCTGGGCCAGGACTGACAGAATATTTTTCAGAATACTGACTGACCACCAACATGCACTAGTCTGATCCCCAAGAACCCAGCACTCAGGCAAATGTGTTTCATCCCCAGGAGTGACATTTACAATAAAGCACAATCAAGTGACCTGGGAGAGGAGACAGGGCAGGAAGGGCAGGCTTCCTGGAAGAAGAGGTACTCTCCAGATCTGCTCTGTTACGGGAGGGCAGCCTTGGTGAGGACTGACCCAAAGTCCCGTCCCCCCCACCCCCACCCCCTGCACCACCACCACCACCACCACCTCCATAAGCAGTGTTTTTCTTCTGCTCTGTCCTCAGGGGCTGGAAGCTGGACTTAGCTACAGGCTTTAGTCACTTAAGTCACAGGAGGCCACTCCATGCAAAGGCCTAGATTTGAACCCCAACTTCATCACTTACATGCTGCGTGGCCTTGAGTAAGTCATTTCCTCCTATGCCCACTGGACCAGGTGGCCAGTGGCTAGAGATCCTTCCTCTCCTGGCTCATAGTGTCCCAGCTCAGCACCAGTTCTCCAGCTTGGAAACCTCCCTCACTTCAAGAATGCCCTCACCATCATTTCATTCTCTCTAGATCCTGATTTGAAGCAGCTCTGGTAGCATAGTGCTTACTAGTTGGCCTGCTAACCTCAAGGTCAGTAGTTTGAAACTACCTGTCCTGCAGGAGAAAGATGAGGCTTTCTCTTCCTTTAAAGATTTACAGCATCAGAAACCCTATAGAGGATTGATATGAGTCAGAACGAACTCCACAGCACATTACCATCACCACCACCAGAGCCTGACTTGAACCCTGGTGTGGAGCTGTAGGATAAGCACTAGATTGGTAGCCTTCAAAGTCTACAGTTCAAATCCACCAAGGTCTACAGTTCAAATTCCTCTCTTGGAAGCCCTACACAGGTTGAGTTGAAACGACATCAGGACCTGCCTTAGATCGACCCTCCTTTGGGAAGTCCACCTAAATATCCACCAACCTGTCTGCTCCATGCAGCCAACAACTCTGCCTCTGGCCCAAGGACATCTCTCCTGATGCCCAGTACCCTCACCCAAGCATGGGACTGGAGTCCTTCACTGCCCTGGGTTATCCTATTGTGCCACACCAGGACTCCTACATGTATTTAAATATGTCAGGAACAACATTTTCACCAAACAATAATTACCCTTCTGTTGCCACTGCGCTCTGTTTTCTGTTTTAGACTTTGCTGGTCTAATTGTTTTTTAATTGTCTTCAAATACAGCATATGGTAGGCACGGCCACCCACAGGTCTGAGCCCCCACTGAGCTCCCCAGTTCACATTTTAACAACCTAACATTTCTACTTTCTGGATAAAAGCCATGTTTCTTTCCCTTGCTCTTCTTCTCCATCACCCACCACCATGGCTGGCTTCTTTTTGAGCCATCTTTCACGAAGAAAGTTGTAACTCACAATGTTAATAGTAAAAGCTGTAGGTAGTCAGTGACACAGTTACAATGGCAGATGAATTGTGCCGGGACAACTGTCCCAGTCACCAGCCTGCAGCCTCTAAACAGGAGGTATATCTGTAACTTGGCACACAGGGCACCACGTGGCATTACTCTTCAGGTCCTGGACAAAGACTGGAAACCTCCAATAGCACTCTGAGAACACAAGGACTTGCTCCACTGTTCCTTCTAGTTCTCTCCCTGGGGTCTTGGAACCCATTTCAGATTTCATTGGTATTTCCTACTTTAACATCTGTGTGTGTTTTAAAATAAAAAGTGAGACCAACTAGGAAAAATCAAGTAATTTAGTATAAAAAACAAGATTCCTGAGTTCTCTTGGACAATGTGGTCAGACCAGGCCCACATTCCTTCATGGTGATGCTGGCCACCCCTCCCAAAGCACACCTCTTCCACCTCTCACTGAGCACCTCCCCTGCAGGAGTTAACCTCCTGGCCTTGGGTCAAGACAATTTGCCTTTCAGAACTATAATATAACACACATGTGTAATAAATACACACATGGCCCAGGGATGGGTTCAAGAGGGAAGAGTCTGCTAGTTCTGGACTTGATTTCAAAATGTCTTATAGTTTCAGTTCCTGCTGTTCAAGGAGCTCAGATAACCAGGATCTTCCCTCAGACACCAGAGATAGCCTGTGAGTCCCAGACAAAATGATGAGCACCTTGAAACCCAGAATAAGACTTCAAAGCTCCTCTTTTTAATGAGCTGGAGGGTATGATTAGGCCAGGAGTGCCCAACTCTGGCTGCACATTAGAATCCCTTAAGGAACTTTATTAAAAGACCCAGGCACCAAACTCCACCAAGTAGTATCCAATCTGTCTGGGCAGGACTAATGAAAGGAGATGTGGATAGCACTCATGTGGTACAATAGTGAATAACTACTATCAGGACTGACTGTGAGGGTTGGAAATGTAAAGGTAGATATTTTGTAGCAAAAGGAGGGAAGTGTTTGACTTTGTAGTCCAGGAGAAGAGGTCCCTGGGACCTTCAAGGGAGAAGAGTGGAGTGCGGGACCCTACCCAGACAAACAGTCATGCCAGAACAGATGCAGAGATGATGACATGGAGAGATGAAGCGGCTGGGAAGTCTAGACCCTGAGAGGAACAGGGGCTGTGTGCTAACGACCAAGGGACAAGCTTGCACGGTGTACCATTTGGTTGGTTGATGATGCATGGAGGGGATTGTAACCATGGCAATGTAATGATACATGATAGGATGAATGTAAAGCTAATATTCTCCCATGTAAACTATCACAAAATCCCCAATAAAGCATACCAAAAAAAAGTCAACCATCAGCTGGAAGATTGCTGCTTACAGTTTTCTTAGATTCTCAAGGGCCAGTATTGGAACACTATCAGGAAAAAGGTTCAACAATCAACAGTGCTCCTTATAGTGAGATGCTCATGGAAGAGCTGAAGTCTAAACTTTGGATTAATTGCAGAGGACTGCCATCTAAGGGGGTTATACTATTGCATGATAATGCACATCTACACACCTATGCCCACACTGTTGACACTGCCAAAACTTCTTTTTGCAGTGTTAAAGCATACTTCCTTTAGTCCTGATCTTGCACTGTTGGACTTTTACCTGTTTAGTCTCCTGAAAGCAGCCCTTTGAAGACAGATTCACCTCGTGTGAAAGCAGCAGTGCATTCGTGGCTCGAAGCTCAGCCTAAAATATTTTTAAATAAGGAAATATGAAAGCTGGTTGACATATGGACAATGTGTATTGAAAATCAAGGAGATTATGTCAAAAAGTAATGCATTTATCTTTTTTAAGAGTTGATTA